AGTGTGGTCTGTGTGTACCAGTGTGGTCTGTGTGTACCAGTGTGGTCTGTGTGTACCAGTGTGGTCTGTGTGTACCAGTGTGGTCTGTGTGTACCAGTGTGATCTGTGTGTACCAGTGTGATCTGTGTGTACCAGTGTGGTCTGTGTGTACCAGTGTGGTCTGTGTGTACCAGTGTGGTCTGTGTGTACTAGTGTGGTCTGTGTGTACTAGTGTGGTCTGTGTGTACCAGTGTGGTCTGTGTGTACCAGTGTGGTCTGTGTGTACCAGTGTGGTCTGTGTGTACCAGTGTGGTCTGTGTGTACCAGTGTGGTCTGTGTGTACCAGTGTGGTCTGTGTGTACCAGTGTGGTCTGTGTGTACAGTGTGGTCTGTGTGTACTAGTGTGGTCTGTGTGTACTAGTGTGGTCTGTGTGTACCAGTGTGGTCTGTGTGTTACCAGTGTGGTCTGTGTTTTACCAGTGTGGTCTGTGTGTACCAGTGTGGTCTGTGTGTACCAGTGTGATCTGTGTGTACCAGTGTGGTCTGTGTGTACCAGTGTGGTCTGTGTGTACCAGTGTGGTCTGTGTGTACCAGTGTGGTCTGTGTGTACCAGTGTGGTCTGTGTGTACCAGTGCGGTCTGTGTGTACCAGTGCGGTCTGTGTGTACCAGTGTGGTCTGTGTGTACCAGTGTGATCTGTGTGTACCAGTGTGGTGTGTGTGTGTACCAGTGCGGTCTGTGTACCAGTGTGGTCTGTGTTTAGGGCCACTGTGATCTGTGTTTACCAGTGTGGTCTGTGTGTACCAGTGTAATCTGTGTGTACCAGTGTGGTCTGTGTGTACCAGTGTAATCTGTGTGTACCAGTGTGGTCTGTGTGTACCAGTGTGGTCTGCGTGTACCAGTGTGGTCTGGATGTACCAGTGTGATCTGTGTGTACCAGTATGATCTGTGAGTACCAGTGTGGTCTGTGTACCAGTGTGGTCTGTGTGTACCAGTTTGGTCTGTGTGTACCAGTGTGATCTGTGTGTACCAGCGTGATCTGTGAGTACCAGTGTGGTCTGTGTGTACCAGTGTGATCTGTGTGTATCAGTGTGGTCTGTGTGTACCAGTGTGATCTGTGTGTACCAGTGTGATCTGTGTGTACCAGTGTGATCTGTGTGTACCAGTGTGATCTGTGAGTACCAGTGTGGTCTGTGTGTACCAGTGTGGTCTGTGTGTACCAGTGTGGTCTGTGTGTACCAGTGTGGTCTGTGAGTACCAGTGTGGTCTGTGTGTACCAGTGTGATCTGTGTGTACCAGTGTGGTCTGTGAGTACCAGTGTGGTCTGTGAGTACGAGTGTGGTCTGTGTGTACCAGTGTGGTCTGTGTTTAGTGCCACTGTGATCTGTGTTTACCAGTGTGGTCTGTGTGTACCGGAGTGATCTGTGTGTACCAGTGTGATCTGTGTGTACCAGTGTGATCTGTGTGTACCAGTGTGATCTGTGTGTACCAGTGTGATCTGTGTGTACCAGCGTCATCTGTGCATACCAGTGTGATCTGTGTGTACCAGTGTGATCTGTGTGTACCAGTGTGATCTGTGTGTACCAATGTGATCTGTGTGTACCAGCGTGATCTGTGTGTACCAGTGTGATCTGTGTGTACCAGTGTGATCTGTGTGTACCAGTGTGATCTGTGTGTACCAGTGTGATCTGTGTGTACCAGTGTGATCTGTGTGTACCAGTGTGATCTGTGTGTACCAGTGTGATCTGTGTGTACCAGCGTCATCTGTGCATACCAGTGTGATCTGTGTGTACCAGTGTGATCTGTGTGTACCTGTGTGATCTGTGTGTACCAGTGTGATCTGTGTGTACCAGCGTGATCTGTGTGTACCAGTGTGATCTGTGTGTACCAGTGTGATCTGTGTGTACCAGTGTGATCTGTGTGTACCAGTGTGATCTGTGTGTACCAGTGTGATCTGTTGTGTCTACCAGTGTTAACTCTGCTGCCTCGTGACGGGTCAGTGGCGGCTCAGAGCTGTTTCGTACCTAAACGATTTGTCATTAAGTACAGCAAGAATTCAGATTGTTGCTCGTGTTGAATGTGTGTAGGAGCAGAATACTTGACGTGGGTGTAGGGGCATTATGCTTGACGTGGGTGTAGGGGTTGTATACTTGACGTGGGTGTAGAGGTATTATTCTTGACGTACGTGTAGGGGCAGTATACTTGACGTGGGTGTCGGGGCAGTATACTTGACGTGGGTGTAGGGGCAGTATACTTGACGTGGGTGTCGGGGCAGTATACTTGACGTACGTGTAGGGGCAGTATACTTGACGTGGGTGTCGGGGCAGTATACTTGACGTAGGTGTAGGGGCAGCATACTTGACATGGGTGTGCGACAGTATACTTGACGTGGGTGTAGGGCAGTATACTTGACGTAGGTGTAGGGGCAGTATACTTGACGTGGGTGTAGGGGGCAGTATACTTGACGTAGGTGTAGAGGCAGTATGCTTGACGTAGGTGTAGGGGCAGTACTTGACGTAGGTGTAGGGGCAGTATCCTTGACGTGGGTGTAGGGGCAGTATATTTGACGTGGTTGTAGGGGCAGTGTACTTGACGTAGGTGTTGGGGCAGTATACTTGACGTAGGTGTAGAGGCAGTATGCTTGACGTAGGTGTAGGGGCAGTACTTGACGTAGGTGTAGGGGCAGTATCCTTGACGTGGGTGTAGGGGCAGTATATTTCACGTAGGTGTAGGGGCAGTATACTTCACGTAGGTGTAGGGGCAGCATACTTGACGTGGGTGTTGGGGCAGTATACTTGACGTGGTTGTAGGGGCAGTGTACTTGACGTAGGTGTTGGGGCAGTATACTTGACGTGGTTGTTATGGCAGTATACTTGACGTGGGTGTCGGGGCATGACACGTGTTATGGAGGTTCTAACAGTTCTTTAGTCATCATTCTCTACCACCAAACTGGAGCTTCACTTCTCTAGCCATCATTCTCTACCACCAAACTGGAGCTTCACTTCTCTAGCCATCATTCTCTACCACCAAACTGGAGCTTCACTTCTCTAGCCATCATTCTCTACCACCAAACTGGAGCTTCACTTCTCTAGCCATCATTCTCTACCACCAAACTGGAGCTTCACTTCTCTAGCCATCATTCTCTACCACCAAACTGGAGCTTCACTTCTCTAGCCATCATTCTCTACCACCAAACTGGAGCTTCACTTCTCTAGCCATCATTCTCTACCACCAAACTGGAGCTTCACTTCTCTAGCCATCATTCTCTACCACCAAACTGGAGCTTCACTTCTCTAGCCATCATTCTCTACCACCAAACTGGAGCTTCACTTCTCTAGCCATCATTCTCTACCACCAAACTGGAGCTTCACTTCTCTAGCCATCATTCTCTACCACCAAACTAGAGCTTCACTTCTCTAGCCATCATTCTCTACCACCAAACTGGAGCTTCACTTCTCTAGCCATCATTCTCTACCACCAAACTGAAGCTTCACTTCTCTAGCCATCATTCTCTACCACCAAACTGTAGCTTCACTTCTCTAGCCATCATTCTCTACCACCAAACTGGAGCTTCACTTCTCTAGCCATCATTCTCTACCACCAAACTGGAGCTTCACTTCTCTAGCCATCATTCTCTACCACCAAACTGGAGCTTCACTTCTCTAGCCATCATTCTCTACCACCAAACTGGAGCTTCACTTCTCTAGCCATCATTCTCTACCACCAAACTGGAGCTTCACTTCTCTAGCCATCATTCTCTACCACCAAACTGGAGCTTCACTTCTCTAGCCATCATTCTCTACCACCAAACTGGAGCTTCACTTCTCTAGCCATCATTCTCTACCACCAAACTGGAGCTTCACTTCTCTAGCCATCATTCTCTACCACCAAACTGGAGCTTCACTTCTCTAGCCATCATTCTCTACCACCAAACTGGAGCTTCACTTCTCTAGCCATCATTCTCTACCACCAAACTGGAGCTTCACTTCTCTAGCCATCATTCTCTACCACCAAACTGGAGCTTCACTTCTCTAGCCATCATTCTCTACCACCAAACTGGAGCTTCACTTCTCTAGCCATCATTCTCTACCACCAAACTGGAGCTTCACTTCTCTAGCCATCATTCTCTTACCACCAAACTGGAGCTTCACTTCTCTAGCCATCATTCTCTACCACCAAACTGGAGCTTCACTTCTCTAGCCATCATTCTCTACCACCAAACTGGAGCTTCACTTCTCTAGCCATCATTCTCTACCACCAAACTGGAGCTTCACTTCTCTAGCCATCATTCTCTACCACCAAACTGGAGCTTCACTTCTCTAGCCATCATTCTCTACCACCAAACTGGAGCTTCACTTCTCTAGCCATCATTCTCTACCACCAAACTGGAGCTTCACTTCTCTAGCATCATTCTCTAACCACCAAACTGGAGCTTCACTTCTCTAGCCCTCATTCTCTACCACCAACTGGAGCTTCACTTCTCTAGCCCCTCATTCTCTACCACCAAACTGGAGCTTCACTTCTCTAGCCATCATTCTCTACCACCAAACTGGAGCTTCACTTCTCTAGCCATCATTCTCTACCACCAAACTGGAGTTTCACTTCTCTAGCCATCATTCTCTACCATCAAACTGAAGCTTCACTTCCATCATGAAGGGAAAAAAATCATAGGTGCTGAACAAGCTTTTACTGGGACAGATTTTTCTGTGTAGAGCTTTATTAAGTCGATAATAAAGCTCTACACAGAGTGAAACATTGCCCCCTGAAAGCTCGCCCTTCACAGCTGTGCAATTTTCCTCACGTCATTGCGAACGATTTCGAATCCAATTCTAAATGCTTTTCAGGTTTTCTTAATATTTCTCATCCCTACAATGTTTTTTTTTTCAGTTTATTTGGTGTTGTCTGAGCCGCGGAGGCCATGATTCTTTTAACCATTAATAGATAATGGATTTGGTAGCCAATATTAATTTACGCTCTGTAGAAACAAGGAATTTTAAAGGACCTTTTCTCTCTTGATAACAGGACGAGCGTGGAGACGGCCTTCCTAAGACCAGGGAACAATAAAGAGGCTCACACGAAGACTGACAGAAGTTACATGAACATTAACAAAGGTACAGGAACACTAACAGAGGTTCAGTAACATTGACAGAGCTACAGGAACACTAACTGAAGGTACAGAAACACAAACTGAATATACAGGAACACTCCCAGAGGTACAATAACACTGACAGAGTTACTAACAGAGGAAGAGGAGCAGACGAAGGCAGGAACACCACACCAGCATCATGCCACGGGCTCGCTGCAGCGACGAACTGTCTGCTATTCACTCCACTGCCACGCGCAAGGAGGACAGGTATGTGTACTCAAGGACGACTTGAAAGTTTTGAGCTACAGTTCCTGGGCCTTTTGAGGGCGTTGAGTTTCAGTTTCTGGGCCTTTTGAGGGCGTTGAGTTACAGTTCCTGGGCCTCTTGAGGATATACTCACAATGTCTCGTGTGACTGATCTTAAAATTTGAAGTGTTTGACTAGGTTGCACATGGGACTCGTGAGGGTATTGAGCCACAGCGCCTGGGTCTCGGTGAGAGTGTTCGGGGTAGAGTTTAAAGAATTTAAGAATGGTGATGTTATCGTACACGAGGGATACACGCCTACCCGATGCGGTAGTCGCAGGAACCCTTAACATCTGGTACTATAACACCATAAACCAGTGACATACGTGTTTTATGTATTAACTCAAGTGTGCCTGAGACAAGCTGTAGCACCTGCTGTAGCACTTGAGGTAGCACTTGCTGTACCTCCAGTTGTAGCACCTGCTGTAGCTCCAGTTATAGTACCTGCTGCATCTCCAGTTGTAGCACCTGTTGTAGCTCCAGTTGTAGCACCTGCTGTAGCTCCAGTTGTAGCATCTGCTGCATCTCCAGTTGTAGCACCTGCTGTAGCTCCAGTTGTAGCACCTGCTGTATCTCCAGTTGTAGCACCTGCTGTAGCTCCAGTTATAGTACCTGCTGTATCTCCAGTTGTAGCACCTGCTGTAGCTCCAGTTGTAGCACCTGCTGTATCTCCAGTTGTAGCACCTGCTGTAGCTCCAGTTGTAGCACCTGCTGCATCTCCAGTTGTAGCACCTGCTGTAGCTCCAGTTGTAGCACCTGCTGTATCTCCAGTTGTAGCACCTGCTGTAGCTCCAGTTGTAGCACCTGCTGTATCTCCAGTTGTAGCACCTGCTGTAGCTCCGGTTGTAGCACCTGCTGTATCTCCAGTTGTAGCACCTGCTGTAGCTCCAGTTGTAGCACCTGCTGTATCTCCAGTTGTAGCACCTGCTATACCACTTGAGGTAGCACCTGCTGCAGCTCCAGTTGTAGCACCTGTTGTTGCTCCAGTTGTAGCACCTGCTGCAGCTCCAGTTGTAGCACCTGCTATACCACTTGAGGTAGCACCTGCTGTAGCTCCAGTTGTAGCACCTGCTGTAGCTCCAGTTGTAGCACCTGCTGTAGCTCCAGTTGTAGCACCTGCTGTAGCTCCAGTTGTAGCACCTGCTGTATCTCCAGTTGTAGCACCTGCTGTATCTCCAGTTGTAGCACCTGCTGTAGCTCCAGTTGTAGCACCTGCTGTATCTCCAGTTGTAGCACCTGCTGCAGCTCCAGTTGTAGCACCTGTTGTTGCTCCAGTTGTAGCACCTGCTGAAGCTCCAGTTGTAGCACCTGCTATACCACATGAGGTAGCACCTGCTGTAGCTCCAGTTGTAGCACCTGCTGTAGCTCCAGTTGTAGCACCTGCTGTAGCTCCAGTTGTAGCACCTGCTGTATCTCCAGTTGTAGCACCTGCTGTAGCTCCAGTTGTAGCACCTGCTGTATCTCCAGTTGTAGCAAACCTGCTGTAGCTCCAGTTGTAGCACCTGCTGTAGCTCCAGTTGTAGCACCTGCTGTATCTCCAGTTGTAGCACCTGCTGTAGCTCCAGTTGTAGCACCTGCTGTATCTCCAGTTGTAGCACCTGCTGAAGCTCCAGTTGTAGCGCCTTCTGTAGCTCCAGTTGTAGCACCTGTTGTAGCTCCAGTTGTAGCACCTGCTGTATCTCCAGTTGTAGCACCTGCTGAAGCTCCAGTTGTAGCGCCTTCTGTAGCTCCAGTTGTAGCACCTGCTGTAGCTCCAGTTGTAGCACTTGCTGTAGCTCCAGTTATAGCACCTGCTGTAGCTCCAGTTGTAACACCTGCTGTAGCTCCAGTTGTAGCACCTGCTGTAGCACCAGCTGTTACTCCAATTGTAGCTCCAGTTCTGGCACCTACTGTAACTCCAGTTCTAGCACCTGCTGTAACTCCAGTTGTAGCACCTGTTATAGCTCCAGTTATAGCATCTGCTCTAGCTCCAGTTGTAGCACCAACTACGCCAGGTGGGAGGTGCGAGGTCTTCTTTAACGCAGATGGTATCGCAAAAGTGTGTGGGGGTGTCTCCGCCATATTGACTCCTGTTGCATACCTGGTATCCATCCACCTGGCCGCCCACCCACCCAGCTGGCCACCCACCCACTCAGCTGGCCATCCACCCACCCAGCTGGCCACCCACCCTCCTAGCTGGTCACCCATCCATGTTCCACGTCCACTGCTGTTGTGCTTGTATTATATATATATATATATATTATATATATATATATATTATATATATATATATATATATATATATAAACACTGATCTCTGGCTGAAGGAGACTCGAACCTACGAACCTTAGAACAAGGTACGCAGTGCTATACCAAAACTCACCAAACTGGACCAATACCTTGGAGTCCAGCTTGCGCTAGACTTTGATCCAAGGCAGCCAGCTTTCAGGGAGAAGGCTTACAGCTTTTCATCTCATCCCCTGCAAGGTATTGGTCCAGTGTGGTGAGTTTGGTATAGCACTGCGTACCTTGTTCTAAGGTTCGTAGGTTCGAGTCTCCTTCAGCCAGAGATCAGTGTTTGTGTGTGTATATATATATATATATAATATATATATATATATATATATATATATATATATATATATATATATATATATAATAATGCCTGTAGTACAGGTCAGTGGTGACCTGTACTTAACTCTGTGAAGAAGTGTCTTGTGTGCTATCCGTGGACTGAACCAAGATGCCCTGTGTCGAGCAACTTTACCAGCAGCTTAAGGAAGAATTGACAGTAGCGAAGATGGAGATACGGCGATTGACTGAGGAAAACAAGAGGATTCGTAGTAGTCCTGTTTTGAGTCCTCAGGTCAAGAAGGGAACGTGGTCAGTGGCTGGACAGCATGGAACGAAGTTGACGATCAAGAAGAATGGAAATACAGAAACGATGAAGAAGAGACTGCTGTGGAAACATCTAATGCATTCTCCGTGCTACCCGACGAATGTGAGTCGACTACTGGGAACGTCACGACGAACGACGCCATTGAAGGTAAGAATATTGTTGTTGTTGGGGATAGCCAGGTTAGATATATGGATAGGGCGTTCTACTTGAAGGACAGGAGTAGGAGACAGAGGGTTTGCTTTCCTGGGGCTGGGATGGAGGACATTGTTAGCCAGCTTGACAACATCATGAACGGTAATGGGATTAACCCTATTATTTGCCTCAGTGCTGGAGGCAATGATCTAGGCAAGCATAGACGTGAGGATTTAGTTAGAAAGTTCAGGACAGCTATAGACATAATTAGGAAGAAGGGGGGGCGCCCTGTTATATGTGGCATTTTGCCAAGAAGAGGTGTTGGTAATGAATGGTTGTCCAGAGCAATTGGTATTAATTGTTGGCTGGATAAACACTGTAAGGATAATGCAGTACCATTCATTGACAACTGGGACAACTTCTATGGCCGAAATGACATGTATGCCAGGGATGGGGTTCACTTATCCAGGGCAGGTGGGTTTTCTTGCTAGCTCAGTTGAGGGGGTTTGTTACCTGGAGTTTACCTGGAGAGGAGTTTTGGGGGTCAACGCCCCCGCGGCCCGGTCTGTGACCAGGCCTCCTGGTGGATCAGCGCCTGATCACCAGGCTGTTGCTGCTGGCTGCACGCAAACCAACGTACGAGCCACAGCCCGGCTGATCAGGAACTGACTTTAGGTGCTTGTCCAGTGCCAGCTTGAAGACTGCCAGGGGTCTGTTGGTAATCCCCCTTATGTGTGCTGGGAGGCAGTTGAACAGTCTCGGGCCCCTGACACTTATTGTATGGTCTCTTAACGTGCTAGTGACACCCCTGCTTTTCATTGGGGGGATGGTGCATCGTCTGCCAAGTCTTTTGCTTTCGTAGTGAGTGATTTTCGTGTGCAAGTTCGGTACTAGTCCCTCTAGGATTTTCCGGTGTATATAATCATGTATCTCTCCCTCCTGCGTTCCAGGGAATACAGGTTTAGAAACCTCAAGCGCTCCCAGTAATTGAGGTGTTTAATCTCCGTTATGCGCGCCGTGAAAGTTCTCTGTACATTTTCTAGGTCGGCAATTTCACCTGCCTTGAAAGGTGCTGTTAGAGTGCAGCAATATTCCAGCCTAGATAGAACAAGTGACCTGAAGAGTGTCATCATGGGCTTGGCCTCCCTAGTTTTGAAGGTTCTCATTATCCATCCTGTCATTTTTCTAGCAGATGCGATTGATACAATGTTATGGTCCTTGAAGGTGAGATCCACCGACATAATCACTCCCAGGTCTTTGACGTTGGTGTTTCGCTCTATTTTGTGGCCAGAATTTGTTTTGTACTCTGATAAAGATTTAATTTCCTCATTTTTTACCATATCTGGTAATTGAAATTTCCATCGTTGAACTCATTTTTTTTTCTGCGCCCCAAAAGATTTGGGTTTTGATTCCCCCTGGAGCCTTGAGTGTCTGAAATGAAAGACACTTCAGCATTTTTCGGGTGTCATCGAAAAGGAAGACACGGTGCTGTGGTGACATCCTGTCTATGCGGAATGAATGAAAACAAATGGAGCTATACGGGCCCTGTGGAACAGGGGCTTTTCACCGTACTGCCTGGGAATTTTACTCGTTGACGCCCTTCCCCCTTTTGGTTCTGTTATGGGGAAAATTATAGATCCTCGACCGACTTTTCCTGTTATTCCTTAGCGCGCTTTTTTGTGCCTATTACCCAGGGTCAACTTGTCGGCTTTTGCAAAGTCGGGTATAACTACATCTGCTTCTTTTTGTCTTTATGCTTTTAGGACCTTGTCGAGTGATCCATAGTTGAGACAGACAGAGCGACCTGTTCTAAACCCATGTTCCCCGGGGTTGTGTAACGATGGTTTCTAGATGGGTGGTGATTTTGCTTTTTAGACCCTTTCAAAGTTTTTTTATGATAGGGGATTTAGTGCTATTGGCTGTAGTTTTTTGCGTTGCTTCTCCCCCCTTTT